GTGCTTGGGCAGGTGGTTTGGACTAGATGACCCACAGAGGTCCCTTCCAACCCCTACTATTCTGTGATTCTGTAAGATGCCTCCCCACCGGCAGAGCCGGGGCCTCTCTGAGAACCTGCTGTCCCCATCAGAGCAGCCTGACCTTGCCCAGCTGATAGCTCTCTCCATGGAGCTGGCTTCGGGGAGATGGTCCCCCGCAAAACTGGTGATCTGGAGCCTGTAACCACGCTGGTGGCCCCACTTGTTTTTGCTGTTAGCTGCGAAGTAGATGTATCTGGGCATCTTCGACTGCAGCCGGAAGGCAGCCTGGTCCTCCGTGTCCAGGACTTTCTTGGTGAGTCGTGGCCGCTCTATCTGCTGCTCTGGGCTCCAGGGAGCCCGCGTCATTTCAAACGCCATGTCATGGGCCACCAGGGAGTTTTTCACCCCTGTGAAGAAAAACCACAGTCACTAAGGAGCATTCCCACAGTCCCCTGTTGCCTACAGACATCACTGCAGCCAGAGATCACTCTCCCGATCCTCCTCTCCCGCATCCCGGGCTCCGAGCACCAGCTCCTGCCCATGAGAGCAGTTAGTGCTCCGCAGCTCCATGGCAGCACGACTGTACATCGCTTACGTTTATCTGTGGCCGTACGACTGCATGTTTGTCTGACCCAGCAACACCACACTGTGGCAGACACCACCCCCCATGGGGACTCCCACCCTCTGCGAGGGACAAGAGGGGAGCTTCGTCCCAGCGCAGAACAGGTTTGCTTCCCAGTGCGAGCACAGTCTAATTAGCTCGAGCGCCTGATGGCCCAGGCGCTGTGTTCGTGCTCATCAGCACGCGTCCCGTGAGCTGGAGAGCGCTGGGAAGGGCCCAGGCTCTGAGCACATTTGCACATCACAGAACCGGAGCAGCGCTGGTGCAGTTCAGGTCTTTCCACAAAGAAGAGTCCTGAGCCAGAGGCTCAGAGCAACGGGAGGGGCACAAGAGCAAATAAATCCAGGGACAAGACGGCAATGAGCTGGCTGAGAGCGCTCGAGGGGGGACGGCACTGGCAGAGGGGCTCGCCGGCCCCAGCCGGAGCGTGTGGCGTAACAGCCTCCCGCGCTCCGCTCCCTCGGCCCCATGCGTGTCCAGCTCGTGCAAAGGCCATTCTGGAGCCGAACCTCTGGCCATCCTGGAAGGTCTGAGCAGCAGCACCCTGGGCCTGAGACCCGGGGCTGCTGTCGAGGTCAGCACCAGAGCCAAAGCCCCAGGGAAGAGGATCCGTGCCCAGCAACCGCCACCATGCTGATTTTCCTCCCTTCTCTGACATGAACAAAACATCTAAGCCCACACTTCCCCCTTTTCCCTGTTTTTTGCAGTTTTGCAATCCCTCATTTTTACTAAAGTACTCAAAACTCATCCTAAAACCTAAAAATCGTGTTTCCCAATTAAAAGGAAATTGTGAAATTTTTAACAGATGGCAGGAGCATGCAGCAAATGCAATTT